CTAAATAATTAATATTAAATAAATAAATAATTTTAATATTTATTGTATATTATAATTATTTAATATTAAATAAATAATTAATTTAATATTTATTAATTACTATAATAACTTTGATATTTTTATTGAATTGGTACCTTATTTACTTAGTATTTTCAATTCTAAAATTGCAAATATCTCAAAATTTTGACTAGGCAGCACCTCTCATATAACATAAGCAAAAATGTTTCTCTTGCAATTTTACCTTACCTAAACCTTAATACTAACTTTAATTTTAACTTTAACCTAATCTAATTTATATTATAAGTTTAATTTTATTATAAGAACACTAAGTATAAGAAGTTGCTATTTCAATACTTCTTTATTAAGATTACTTATTATAAATATTTATTAAATACTTATTATAATTATATAAGTATCTTGCTAAATACTTAGTTTAAATATTTACTGGGTATAAGGTGCGTTGAAATTAATTTAATAAGCAATTGTAATAAGTATTTAATAAGTACTTAGTAAGTATTTAACAAGTACTTAGTTATACTTTGTAATAATAATTAAAAAATATATATACTATATAAACCTTGGCTTTTCTCCTTTCTGCTAAACAAACTTAAATAAACTCAAATAAATACAGATATTTTTTTTAGTTATAGGATTCTTTCTTATAATTAAAGTCTTATATATCATAAATAAAATATATCTTCTTTAACTATATATTTTCTATAAACTACTTTTAGTAATATTATATTTTATTTTCATACTGCTACATTATTGCAACAAATTACTGTAGCTGTGTGTTGTATTACTTGTGCTATATTTGAAGACTACAATCTACTTATAACAATATGACTAATTGTATTTTTGTTAATACAGTATAACAAGTTAAATACAGAACTAGTAACTATACTGAGATTTAATCAAAGTTTAATAAAATGTACCAGACCTCAAAGTGGTCATCTTAATATTAAAAAAAATTTTTTTAATATACTATAGTATATAATTACAAATCTTTTTACTAATATTGTAAAAAAATTAGACATAGCATATTCATGTAACTCATGTAACATTCGTGCATACCATGTGACCCTACGGGATGTGATATACTATATCAGATATACAGTATACTGTATTACCATAAGATTTTTAAAAACTAAATTTAACAAAAAATAAATAATCAAATTCCTTACTTTTCTTTTTATACAGTATATAAGATAACGGCTCTTGCGTATTCATATAACAGGTATATGATGTTTATGTCTTACCGTATAGCCCGTCGTTTAACAATGGGCTATAATACTAGTCATTAAAAAAAAAAATTATTTTGATTTTACCAATTATTATAAAACATAAAAAATGTTAGGCATTATTATCTTATTCATATTAAATTTTAACTACCAACTGACTGTACTATAAATTATATCCTTTATTTTTGGCATTAAGCTCTTAAAAAGCCTAACAAATTCGTATAGTAATAGCATAACATAATCTTCTAATGTCGACCAATCAAAATTAGGTCGATATATGAGTAATATAAGTGTATCGCATGGCATAACATATATATAGTGTAAATTTATACTGTACACAGTATTTGTTAAAAATGTGAAACTTTATTTTGTAAAGTTGTTAATACAGTAGTGACAAAAGTTTAATTATTCAAAATTTACAAAATACATAAACATGGTTCATAAAGATATTTCAGCATAAATTAGTAATTGGATATCCATCTCTGACCAAAGCCACATCTTTGCTAAAAACTTTGATGTAGCAAACGGTAACCAATAAAAGCTAAGAATTTACAGAGATGTTGATATCAGGTATAATATAACGAGAGGTTTAATGACATCTCCGTAATTGTGACACCTAAAGCTTGTAACTAATAATCGAAAACATTCAAATTCTTTAGCTAATATAAGGTTGGTCTTCTTCACCTTTTGACTCGTTCGACTTGCCTCTTGTTTGTCTTGTGCTGTGCTCTTTTACGCTTTTACGAGCTTTTCAAGGAATTTTTTTAAAAAACTTTACCTATTTAAACATATCCTGGCACATTTTACCTTGTTTTGGTTTATTGTGCGAATTACCATTTTCCCACCATTTTTGTTTTTTTAAACCGCCAAATTGTCTTCAACTAACGCCTCATCGGGGGCGCACAAAGAAATCACCATGGGACAAGCACAGGACAAGTTTGTGGACGAGCAAAATGAAGACGGTTCACAAGATTCTCCTACAGTGGAAGACTCCGTGATTACTGAAGCAACTTTTACCGTGGTTGCGTCGGAATCTCAAGTTCACCATGATATTAGTTTCTCACCGCCTTCTATACAAAACACACAACTAAAAAGAACTAGTCCAAATTCTGTGTTCGGTGATATAGAGCCCAATGGCATTCGAAGTGAAAAAGGAAAGTTTTTCCCTTCAGATGTCAATGGTCACATTGATTTGGCAGAGAATGATGATAATTTTACTATTCACCTAACCAGCTCCACAATAGATTTTTCAAATAATTCACTCGCGAGTTCACTTGCGAATTTAACAATTCGGGATTCATCATCATTGGATAGCATGACAACAGCGTCTGTTGTGCAAGCGACAACAGTGAAGAACGCACATAACAGCTTATCTAGAACCATTGATGAAAATTATAATCCGGCTGTAGAGGAAACATCCGGTTCAATTAAAATAGCAGGCACAGCAGAATCAACACGTAAAAGGACACCTAAAGACATAAAATCAACATTGGCTGACGAAGCCGAGTATACGATACCACCAGCCATTGCAGAGGATGTTTTGCGAGAGATGTTGGCAAATAAGCCTAGTCAGGATTTACTTGAAGAGTTGGAGCCACCAGCCGTGGTCACAAATGGAAAAGGAGAAAATTCTTCATCAAAATTTAAAGGCGATTCGGTAAACCATGAGAAAAATGGTGAGTCCTCTGAACCGAGCAAAAGTAGTAACAAAAAGAACAATTTGTTAATCTTGTCTGGCATGATAGATTCCCCTTTTCCATCCAAATTTACATTTCCCAATATTGCGGATAAAAATTTCTTTCTACCGAATTTTTCAAATTCACCTGCTACCTCATCGCTACCTTCATTTTCCTTTGGAAATCCATCTGAATTATCGTTACAAAATCCCTTTCAAAATCCTCCCATTTCTTCCAATGCGCCCGCAAACATATCACATCAAAAAGAACAACGGCGCGTAACACTTCAATGGCATCCACCAGTTCTACCGGTTCTTGACAAGTTTTCACCTCAACTTTCGTCAAAAACACCATCCATATCGATGCCATCTAGTTCTATATGGCCTCCGTCGATAAATACCACATCTCCAACCGATACACACTTTTCAAATTCTAACTTATTGTTTCCACAGTTTACTGGATCTTTTAAATTTGACATGAATTCCAAGAATGCAATTTCTGGACCTCAATCATCTAGTATGCCGCCACCATTAGTCCATCCTTCAACGCCACCATTAAGTCCATCGACAAAAAAATCAACTGTATCACCACCTGCGTCGTCATCGAGGAAAGGATTTCATTCCAACGAACGTAATGGTAGAACTACGACATTGTATGTGTCAGCAAAGCCACAGACCAAGAGTGTCGATAGTAATAATAACGTAAACGGAAATATTCAAACATCTTTGCTGGTTTCGTCGACACCTAAAAAATTGCCAATGAAGTTTGGTGACATTAGTAACACTCTAACATCAACATCATCAACGACAAAAGGAATAACGAATAGCATTAATAGTAATAATACTGCAAATCCGTCCACAACATTACAGACATCACCACCAAGAGGATTTGCTCACAATGCGACGAATACATTTCCTTTTTTCAGGCCAATTCGAAAATTACCATCACGGGCTAAATCTCGTCTGTCACCCAATGGAGTTCTCACGGATGATAATAACAATAGCAATAATAATATTAGCAAAATTGATACTATCAGTAATGTTGTGTTCAATGGAAGGAATGAGATTATAGTTACAGCGCCAACACAGCCTTTGCCCGTTATACCGCCGTCTCCCTTATTCTCATTTGCAACTCCAACAAATTCAGAAGAAGAAGATTTTGACGCTGAGGAAGAAGATGGTAGTAACGATAACGGGCATACTGACTGGTTGGATAATGCTAATAATAAAAAGAAAAGAAAGGCCTTGCAAACCGTGGGAGGTGGTTCAGTGATGAATAGTAGTGTTGGTGGTGTCATGAAGACTTCAACAGCGAAAGAACGAGCAAATCCACTTAGAAGAGTGGAGAGACGT